AGTGCGAGCCTCTGCGAAGCAGAGGTGACGCACTGGTGTCGGATAACCGGCCTAAGGTTGAACAAAATCCACGGCAAAAAAGTTTTAGGGCCAGATAGTGGAATAGCGTCCCTTCTAGTATAAGTTCCTCCCAAGTTTGGAGCTTCTAACTTCCCTGCTTCCAGAGCCTTGCTTTGATTGATAGACTGGATGAGTCAGTATATTCCGGAAGGATTGACAACGCTAAGAAGAGAGCGAAAGTGGAAAAAGAAGCGAAGAATTTGATTGAGAAGGCTGTATGTATAAGAAAGAAGAAATGCAACTAAGTCGTTGGTGCCTTTTTCAGCATTCTAATCCCTCGGATAATGCTGATTTGAGCCTGTATGAGCGTACTATGGATGTTCTAAGGGTATGGTAAAGGTAATAGTCCTTTTTATATGATAAGAACTCTTAGGATTCTGCCATTGGCTTGCATCGCGAATATTTCAATTATGAAGAGACTGTGGATGCAAGGGATATCTTGGCTCAGGTAAGCTACAAGCATTTTACCGCCAAGTCATTTTGCTCTAAAAGTGCTGCCACCAATAAAATAAAAACTTCATAGTAATGTGATAGCAACATTCGTATGTTGATAATGCATGCCGTAAGGTTTGCTGAGACGAAAGAAGCATCAGATGTTTTTTGCGTCGTCACATCTAAATATTTTTTTTGTAAAATCAATCTTTTTTTAACCAATTTTTGGACATCACATTCTAAGTGAAAAACTACTTTGGCTTCAACTAGCTTGCCCGTTTATATTGTCAACTCCGCATTTTCATGTTTTGGAATACACTTACCGTACCAACGCTTTGGAGAGGTCTTTAGCCGAAAAACAAGCTGCACTGGACGCAGGTGGATTGGATACGGTAGGATTTCTACTGATTTCTATTGATTTGATATTGATAGATTTTGACATAATTGAATTTTGTGAACTTTTGTAGATATGTTTGGAATTGTGTGAGAGTCGGTTCTCATAACAGATGCAATTATTGAAATACGAAATTTTTGGGCCCCTCCAAATCCTGAATTCTGAATTTTCTGAATTCATTGTTCAGCTCGATGGCATTCTGAACAGGATCTCGGAATCTTTGATCAAACTAAAAACTTCCAATAGCGATCTTGATGCACCAACAGCAGATATAGAAAAGATTCTCAATGATATGAAGGAGAAATTAGCTAAAGGGGTAATTT